TAAAGACTTTGATATTTATTTGATAAAAAAAACATGTGTATATATATATAGAATTAATGTATTTGTGCTGATTTATTTTAAAGTATTGTTAAATGAGTTATTTTTATATAATATTTATTAATATGAAGAAATTAATATATAGAAGGGTAAAATTGTCAAATTTAAATTAATTTATATTTATTTTAAATAGGTTTAAAGAATGGTTACAACTACAAAAAAAATGAAAATAAGGGAGGTAGACGTAATATCGTAAACCATAGGGGAGGTGAGTGTTATAAAGCGAAACCTGGAGGGAGGTCTCCGAAATTATCCCTAGAATGTATCAAATAGGTAATACAGTATCACACTCAAGACTATAATTATATGTCCATATGTTTATTTTTTGAATTTGGATTGTTTTAACCTTTTTTCCCAAAAAATATATTTTATGCTCAATAAGACAGATGATTGATATTTTAATAATTGTAAAGTCAATTGATTCATCCGATTTCTCTCCATGTATTGAAATTCACATAGATAAGATATGAAATCTGGAAATTTAGAACTTCTTTGAAGACAATGGTTCACTATTCAAAAATATTTAAATACATGTTCACATCTAATACAAGGCATACCTTTGTATTTTTCTTTGTAGAAATTCAGAGTGACGATAAATTCAAGTCATTTGAGAGAAATTATCCACAAATATGACAAAATACTTATGTCCCGTTTTAAAAATTACATTTGATGATCCCCAAACATCAAAATGAACTAACTCAAAAACTGACTCCACTTGTTTATCAGCCCCTTAGACTTATTGAACTACGATAAATTTTGACAAATTGGCATGACTAACAATTCAATGAAGAAACTTTGAAATTAGGGACAAAGCTTCTTTAACATATGCAAAGAATTAAAGATGTTTCAAATGGAGACACGACATTGGAGTAGCAACAAATTGAGGCCCCCAATATTCATCAAGAATACAGAGACTACCAAATACATGTCATTTACCTATAATCTTATTCCCTTTAGATCACGATACATATAATAATCAGTAAAGAATGAGATATAGTATTTCAAATTTCTGATAAGCTTACTCACATGCATCAAATTAAAGACTAACTTTGATAGACTTAAAACAAGTGACAAGGTAATGGAGGAGGTTGGTTTGATAGTCCTAAATCCTATAATTTTACACGTGGAACCATCAACTATTGTCACAGGAGAGAATATTCTATGTGATCGAAAGCTAAAAAATATAATAGAATTATCCGTCATGTGATATATGACACTTAGATCAATCTCCCATTAAATCAAGAAGAGATCAGACATGTTTTTTTCCAACTCAACAAGATTAGTAGCCAAAATTGATTCCTTAAAGTAATTTTTGATATTGTGAGAATTTTGCTCGCTCTTCTACCGAAAGAAAAATTATTTTATTCGAAGAAATAAGAGCCACAATTTTAATCCTTTTTTTCAAATATGTAAACAACATACGAACTCATCAACAATAAATATACCTAGAAGCATGTATACAATATGATTCCACAAATAAAACATAGTCTAAAATGATTTTAGCAACCAAGGAATCAGTTGTTGATAAGAGAAAGAAATCCTGAACCAACAACTATGTCCACACAACACCAATTATCCGAAACAAAGTAGAATTAACCGTCACAGAACCACAAATCACAAACCAGATTCAATGTCAGAGAAGAGAAACGAACCTGGAAGTGATGAACAAAGTTTCCAAATCATGTTTTAACAACAAAATAGACCTGAGGTTCGCAGGAAATGAAGAGCCAACGTTGAAACACACAGAAGGATCTACTAAAATAAGATAGAGCCTATTTCTGAAACAGAGTCAAAACATATTGACACGAGCTTATAGGCTTTGATACCATGTGATCGAATGGAAGATCTTATCTTATTTCAGTAGATGGGCAATGAATAAATAGAATGAAATTAAGAGGGATTCCTATTATTTGCTACCTTTTACTATACATTTGCTACCTAAATATAGCAATGTACATTACTAATATATTAAGATTGAGGTCTATATACATTCTGTAACAACAATCAATTTATATATTTCCATTTCCTATTTTCTATATAATATTAATTTCTACATTACATATCTTTTTCTGATCATCAAAATTAATTAATATCTTTACGTGCATTTTTTTCCATACTAACATTAATCTTCCTTAATGCATTCATTCTTCTTTTATTTTTGCCCTATAAAATGACACTAATTATCAACTTCTATTATTCATAAATCACTCTTCTAAAATCTATTATTCTCCTTAAACCTTACCTATGAAAATGAATTCTAAAGTTTTTTTTCTTTTTTCCATTTTAGTTTTTTTGTCTTTCTCTCAACTTGCTTTAGTTTCTTCTAGAAAGGCCAAAACCAACCATGATTTAGATGGATTCACTCTTGATCTTATCCATCGCGATTCTCCTCTTTCTCCCTACTACAACCCTTCCATCACCCCTTCTCAACGCCTCCGAGATGCATGCCACCGATCTTTTTCCCGAGCATCTTTCTTCACAAAAGCCTCCATCCATCCCACCACACCTTTCAAACACGATATTCAATCAGACATTGTTCCAATACCCGCAGAATATTTAATGAAAATTTCCATTGGTACACCCCCAAGGGAAACCTTTGCGATTGCTGACACTGGTAGTGACTTGACATGGATACAATGCAAGCCTTGTACTGAATGTTTTGACCAAATCTTTCCCCTTTTCAATCCTAGAAAAAGCTCAACTTATAAAATCATTGGATGTCATAGTAAACATTGTGAGGCAGTGGGAGAAACAGTTTGTGTTAGAAAAAATGTTTGTCAATATGAGATGCATTATGGTGATAATTCTTATAGTGTTGGTGATATTGCTTCTGAGACATTCACATTTGCATCAACAACATCTAAAACCAATAAAAAGGTTGATAATATTTCAATTCCACAAGTTATTTTTGGTTGTGGACATGATAATGGTGGCACTTTCAACAATTTTACTGCTGGGATTGTTGGATTAGGAGGTTCAAAAGTCTCCTTTATTAAACAACTTGATAAACAAATTAAAGGGAAATTCTCTTATTGTTTAATCCCAATGGATTTATCATTACCATTTTCTTTTGATCCCAATATTACAAGTAAAATTAATTTTGGTCCTAAGGCAGTTGTATCGGGGCCTAACGTTCTTACAACTCCCATTATTCGAAAGTACCCCGATACATTCTACTATCTAAATCTCAAGAGTGTTAGCGTTGGAGGTAAGAAGTTGAAGTACTTCAAGTCTTCACAACTCATGAGTTCTTCTGCTGCTGCTGATAAAGATTTGGGAAATATTATAATCGATTCTGGTACGACATTGACAATTGTCCCTGAAGAATTTTACAAGAAATTGGAATCAACTTTGGTGGAAAAGATTAAAGGTAAGATTAAATTTTGTGACTATTTTTTAAAGTATACATTTTTAGTTATATCTAATTATTATATTATGTCTCGACAGGAAAGAGGAAAAAGGATCCCTCGAATTACTTTCCCCTATGTTATGAGACGAAAAGCGTTGTCAATTTTCCTAAGATTGTGTTCCATTTCACGGATGCTGAAGTCGAGTTATTACCTATGAGTACATTTGCAGAAGTTGATGAAAATTTGACTTGTTTGTTAATTGTTAATGGGGGTGTTGATGGTCTAGCTATTTACGGAAACTTGGCACAAATGAATTTTCTTGTTGGATATGATCTTGTGAATCATAAACTCTCTTTCTTGCCTACTGATTGTACCAAACACTGATAAATTTAGATTTAATTTCATATTTTTAGTTAATTAAGCACTTTCTATGTAATGAAATGTGGCCTTAAATTTTGTTTAATGGGAGTATGTATGTGTTGGTACGTATTTTTAATGTCCATTTCTATAAGTTCATAATGATTCTCTTATCATTATAATCTTTGACGTTTTAATATTTGGAAGGGGAATAAAAAATCATGATAATTTTGGAAAAGAGGTAAAGCACTAAAAGTGAGATACCATGTTAGAATGTCCCAAATAGGCAATATTATATATATATATATATATATATATATACTCAGCATGATTTTATGTCCATATTTTGATTTTCTGAATTTGGACTCTAATTTATCACACAATTTGAAAGGCAATTTGATTCTCAATAATGCAGATCAATGATATAGATATTTTTATAGCCTAACTACTACGAAATTCGTCACCAGTCTATCTTTACTTTGTAGCTAATGAAAATTTGTCGATAATTCATCACTAAGTTGAATTAGCGATGAATTTTGTTGTTTAACTATAAATTTTGTCCGTCACTAAATTCAGCTTCTTTTTTTTAGTAGTACGTAGTTTCATACAAATGTTGGTACAATTTGTAATTTGTTTGAATTAAAAAATAAATAATAAAAAGAGGTATATCTTTATATTTTTCTTTGTAGGAATTGAATAACTAAATAATCTTAGTATAATTATTTTCTTGAAAGTGGCTCGCGAAAATTAAGGTTCTTGAGTACTAACTAACAAAGTTGATTGACTCATTCGATACTAGCAATAAATCTAAGAAATTATTGGATATCCTTTCTTTTTTTCTCCATGTGATATTCCATAGGATCATGATATTTGATTGGATTGTCAATTCTTGGAACTTACAAAATACGTAGAATCACCATCATCAATTAAGATCCAATGTATTAATTTCATCATCTGTTTTTGGTACAGAGGGTCATAGGTTCGAATCATGTCACCTTGATATGAATACAGTAGCCTTCTATAAAAGTTCTATTCAACTCAAAGTTACGATTTCTGTTTATGCAATATTTAGTAGCCTTGAAGAATTTACACTGTTTTCATTCTTAATCTACAAATTTTAAACATTATTGATTCAATTCACCATGTTTTTCATGAGTACTAAAGTACCACACATTTCCTATTCCAAAAGCATAACAGAAATTCATTTCCTACAATAGTTTACAAAAGCTAATGAAATAGTCGAATGACTTTCTTATTTAAAAAAGTGACACTGATAGATTATTTCAATTACTTGATGATCATATAAGAAATTAACTTCATCGATTGATGTTGAAGGGAAAGCTGATATTGAAGACAAATCTACCTCAATAAGTACAAATCAAGTTCCAGACCTGTACATATTTCTTCAAATTTGAATCTAAAACGTTGGGTGATTCTCAATGGAATTGTTTCATCTCATCCATCAAAGATCTCCTTCAGTGCAGGTGTAGATGCCAATATCAATTTCACAAATTCCATTTCCATCTCAAAACCAATAAAATAATGCACAGCTTCACAGCACCACACGAGATTGATTTGGCTCGTAAGAATTGTATAACAGATCGATTCCACAGCAATGCCTACTACTCCCTAGAATATATTTGATAACAGTTAGGCAGGTTCAGATGAAGAAACCATATTAATACGTTCAATGAGAAAATAGGAGAGTGCTTACACATTCAATGGTAAGTTCTTGTAATTTAGGGCAGCTTGTAATCAAGTAACCTGTGCTTGAAACCTCGTCAACATTATATTTCTGAAAGACATATCCAAAATACAGAGAGATTTGACATTGTTTAGAGCACTCGGCAGATTCTCTGGTATACCTCCCATGGCCAAGTACTAGAAGCAAGTCAAAAATCGGTAAAAGATACATCATTTGATTATGATATGTACCAACTTTCATTTGTAGACTATAATTAATATCATCACAAATGTACATTACCTCTACTGATGAACCGCCTAGTTCCAGTTCCTCCATGGAAGACATGTAAATGGAATAACTTTGTAAGATTAGAACAAAAAGGTGACGGATCCATCAAAACTCGTGACTTGAGTTGAGCCACACAATGACGCTTCTAAGTATCGGGGCATTCTTGAAGCAAATGGACTCTGATGTTCCAAGAAAGTCGAAGCATTTGAGATTGGCGGCATCAACTTCAAGAATATCAAATTCGGCGCACCTAGTCAACCTCAAACTTTCAAGCAATGGGCATTTGGATGTGAGATACCTTAATATTGTTGGATCAAAACTGACACTTTGAAGATTCAGACTAATAGGCTTTGCTAACCCTTTGAAATCAGGTGGAGGGTGGAAGAATCACATATCAAGTTCCAGATGTCTTAGTTGCTGGAATGTAAAAAGATAAGAAGGTAAATGATATTTGTTGCCAGAGAATATTTGAAGAGCGAAGTCCTAGACAGTTTTCTTTGACAAGAAGAGCATCCAGTAATAAATATCAAGATAACACGTCAAATAGGGGGATATCAGGATAATCTTGGAGCGGTACACTTTAGTATTGGTCCTTGATGGATTCGTAGGACTTGGTAAATGACTGTCTTGGCTACTTTATTGTTGTTGAAAGAAGTGAAAAATCACTAAGAAAATCAAGTTGTGCACATGTTACCCATTTGTTCCTCCCGTCTTTTGACAAGATACTAGTCTTTACTGCATCTTTCAAAGACAAGCTCCTTAGAATTTTATCCAGGACATTACAGGGCAAATTGTAGCACTCTTCGTGGTTTAATACACAAGTTTGTAGACAACTCTAATAATTCAGATCTGGAATAAAGAAAATATCCAAATTCTCATAAATACACATTTTAACAATGTATGCATAGTCTTATATAACTACTAGCTAGTTCAACTTTTTCAATTGATGGAGGTTTATCATTTCGCCATTATCGGAGGGAAAAATAATGATGAATGCGAGGGTATGAGGAAAATGTTGATTGGAGACAACAATGGTGCTTTCATGAATTTAATCTAGAAGATTTAACAATGTATATGTATATACAACTATAAGGATATTTCACCTAAATGCACATCACTTTTTTTTTTGGCGAGGGGAGCCAAGGAAGTTATATCCATTTCAAGAAAAAGATCTTGTAGAAATCTATTCTTGCAATTGGCAAAACCTACATTAGAGCAATTAGCTCATTCTCTATCTTTGGAACGTCAGACAACTATTTCCATTTCTATAAAAAGATTTTACAGAAATCTATACTTAACATATGAGATATCTACTTTAACAATTTTTTTTTTTACCAAAATCCACCCAGATTATTATAGAATTATAAACAAATTGGAAGTAAGCAGACATAGGCTCCAAAATCCTTGGGAGTTCCGCCCCTAGGGTTTTTGTCTAGTGGTAAGTGTGTTGCCTGTGTTGCGTGGATTAGGCATAAATCGTGGTTTGCAACTGATGAAACCTACTATTTAAGCTGAGAAGACTATAATCTGGATGTGTATTCTTCTCGGCTTCAATAGTAGGTTTCATCGGTTGCAAACCCAAACCCGAGATATATGTCTAATCCATGCAACATGGGCAGCACACTTACCACTATACAAAAGTCGTAGGGGCGGAACTCCTAATGATTTTTGGGGCCTATTTATGCTTTCTTCCGATCTATTCATAATTTAGATAGTAATCAGGGTGGATTTGGGTGAAAAAAATTTGCAAGAGTAGATATCTCATATGTTAAGTATAAATTTCTATAAAATCTTTTTCAAGAAATGGAAATAGCTGACATTCCAAAGATGAGAATGAGCTAATTGATCTAATGAAGGTTTTCCAATTGCAAAGAATAGATATCTACAAGATCTTTTTCTAGAAATGGAAATAGCTTCCTAGTCCCCCTCGCCAAAAAAATGTATTGTGTATTGAGGTGAAATATCCTTTTATGTATATATATACACACATTATTGAATCTGCTAGATTAAATTCATGCTTTCACCATTATTGTCTCCAACCAACATTTTTCAGGTACTCTCTCATTCATCATTAATTATTTTCTCCCTTCTATATTGGCAAAATGATAAACTTCTATGCAATCGAAAATGTGAACTAGTAGTTATAAAAGACTATGCATACATTGTTGAAATGTGTAATTATGAGAATTTGGATATTTTCTTTATTTCAAATTTGAATTATTAGAGTTGTGTGCAAATGTGTGTATTAAACCATGAAGAGTGCTACAATTAGCAATTTGCCGTGTAATGTCCTGGATAAAATTCTAGGGAGCTTGTCTTTTGAAAGATACAATGAAGACCAGTATCTTGTCAAAAGACTTGCGGTACAAATGGGTAACACGTGCAGAACTTGATTTTTGTAGTTAGTTTTTCACATCTTTCAACGACAACCAAGAAGCCAAGACAATCATTTACCAAGTCCTACGACTACATCAAGTACCAATACTAAAATTTACAGTTCAATGTCCTAATTTGACATGTCTTCCTGATATTTATTACTAGATGCTCTTCTTGTCAAAAAAAATGTCTAGGAATTCACCCTTCAAATATTCTCAGGCAACAAATATCATTTACCTATCTTTTTACATTCCAGCAACTAAGACATGTGGAACTTGATATGTGCTTCTTCCACCCTCCACCTGACTTCAAAGGGTTTGCGAAGACTATTAGTCGTAATCTTTAAGATGTATGTCTAATCCACGCAACTGGGGTGGCACACTTACCACTAGACAAAATATAGTGGTAAACATAGAAACATGAGATCAACTTTTTTTCACAAAGGAATATAACATTCTAAAGGTTAACAGGTAGATAACAAGGGAAAATTCACCATTTGATAATATATTTCCCCTGTTTCAAACTGCTTGATAGTACTACATTTGACTTTTCACCCGGTCTGCTATAGAAAAGTGTTTGTTACTCACAAATAGTAGCTTGTACGAAGGAAGAAGCTAATCTATCAGAATTGAGACAGGGAGGAGAGGCGAAAGAGAGATTTTCGAGTCTGCAAGCAAAAGCAACAACGGCTTTTCAGTCGTTGCGCGCTGGTTTGTTGTTAAGGGGTATAATTATTTCCTATACAAGAGCATAGTCGAATGAAACAAGCTAGAAATCTCAACTTAGGGCCAGAGTACTATTCTCTACCCAACTAATGAAAATTCACAATTTCTGTAAACATGACTACATATGACTTTTCACCTGATCCCTAATCGAGACTGTTTGCTACTTTCTTTTCAAATACAACAGAATATCAAAATCAAATAAGCTAGAAATTTCAACCTAGATTCTGTTGAAGAAATCAATTGGCATTCGTACCAGAAAAACGGCCAGATCGGTTATCTACCGAGTTTCGAACTTTGTGTCAATGTTGGGATTTCACCTTTAGAGAGTTGAATTTGGACGCTTAACGATAGCAGAGTCCGCTGGGAGAGAGATCGAAAGCTGCCCTCTACTTTTTAGTCTCATTTTTCGCCAGAGTGATGTTTGGTGTTTTAACTCCTCGCTTAATGGTTAGCAGAATCTGGCTCAAAAATTGATAACCCGTCCAATCCATCCAAAATTTTATGAGGTTGGGACTTGGGCATGAGATAATTTTATATTGGGCTGATTTTAGTCCAATCAAATATAACCCAAATTTTAAAGTTGTCTTCAATTTAGCCCAATATTAATCTAATTCTAGCCCATATTGTGCCTTAGGGCTCAAATCTCGAGTCTTGAATATCTGGTTTCGATTAAAGATTGGATCGGGTCCTGAGTCAGGATTGACGCTCAGATGTCGCTCCCGGGTCTCGATTGCTAGAGCTACACTTGGTTGCCGAGTCTCGAGTTCATGTATCTAGTCTCACCTCGGGTAAGGGATTGGATCTCGAGGCTCGAGTCTTAGGTTCCGAGTCAAATTTTTAGAAATGGGTGGACCAAGCAATTTTGAACTTCCAAATGCCTTAGTGGCTGGAATGTAAAAAGTAATAATGTAAATGAAATTTGTTGCCTAAGCTTACACGGAGGGTGAATTCCACGACATTTCTTTTTGACAAGAAAAGTATCCAACAATCAATATTAGGAGATCTTATCAAGTTAGAGCCTCTAAGTTTAAACCTCAGTATAGATCCTTTATGGAGTAATAAGATTTGGTAAATGATTGTCTTAGCTTCTTGACCATGTGCAAACGACTTGAAAAAAGTGATAATCAAACGCAAGCTCTTGACGTGTGACCCCTTTATTCCTCCAATCTTTTGATAAGACACAACAATCACCCTAGAATTCCGTCCAAAATATTGCGGGGAAAGTTGCTAATTGAATCGATACTGGATCTCCTAGTACTCTTCGTGGTCGAGTACTAATGAGAGTTAGTAGGCACCTCTGAAAACTGAGATTAGGAAAGCTAACCAATAGTACTAAGCAAATGTGGTTATCAACTTTCAAAGTATTCAATATTCTTTGGAGAATTTCGAATAAAGACAATATTCAAATTTACATGAATACATATTTAAACAAGTACGCATGCATAGCCTTACATGACTAATAATTCAATAATTTCAACTAAATACAAAAACCTTTAGGTTCCTTTTTATTACATTGACAAACTCAATTCTGAGGAACATCGTCCATCCAAAAATTAAAATATTTTCCTTTATGAAGAGATCAAACAAACAATGAAATTAAAAAGGAAAATAAGAATCTCGGATAAACAATATTGTTATTGCTACGAAGATAGATCAATCTCATGAATGATAGATAAATTCTACATTAGGTGATGCTCAAGGGAATTGCTTCATCTCCTCCATCATTTTCATTCCCCTATGACGGATATCTGCAGAAGTCGCAATGTATATTTTCTCAAGTTTAGTTGCATATGCCAATACATGCTTCAAGAATTCTGTTTCAGTTTTATTAACCTAGTACAGGAGGGTCATATCCACGCTTTTGAGCCGCTTCATTGCACTATGTGTCATTGCCATTTCTTTTGATCGCAAGGGATGTGTACACACGCACACGCTTCGAAAGCATCAGACTTGAGAAGGGAAAAAGAAGATTAATTATAAGAAGAAGCTAAAAATCAACCTCTTTACAATCAAAAGATGAAAACTGAGACATACCGTAATTAGAAGCCTTTCTATGTTGGGGCATCGATTGATCAAGTCAAGCACGTATGCAACCCAGTCAACCATAGTAAAGATCAAATTCTTGAAATTCAAAATTTTGATGTTGTCTAGTGTTAACTGAGGCTCTGGTACTGTAAAGGACTAAAACAAAGTGCGACAAAATTAGCTAAAATTACGAGGAAAATCTAGTAGTGCATCAGACAGATATTTCAATGATGATGATTACCTCCAACATGTTAAAAGGCATGCCCAATACAATTTCCTCAAGCAGAGGGGTTCTTCTAAAGCAAAGGGAATTTGCTCTGCCGCTGAATTCAAAGATTTTTAGATTGGGGCCCTCAATAATGAAGCTATCAAACTCACTGCAGCAAACCATTAATACATGCTCAAGTAATGGGCTACTTGAAAGGAAGACTTGAAATGACATGGGCTCAAAGGTTACAACTTGAAAGTTAAGGGTAACAAGACTTCGAAAACCTTTAAAGTTGGGAGGAGGGTGGAATTTACAACTATTAAGTTCCAGGTGCTTTAGATCCTGAAATTTGAATAGGTGAGAAGGGAGGCGAAAACATGTAAGAAATGCAAGTGATAATTCCTGGACATTTTTGTTCGACAAAAACAGAATCCAATTATCAATATCAGAAAAAAGGTTGGAGCTAGGGTACAAGAGGCTAAATTTATGTACTTCTCCTTGATGCATCAATAGGACTTTATAAATACTTGTTTTCAGGAGGAGTTCTTTGTTGATGTTATAATCAAACACTAGTTCGGAACGTACTACCCACTTGTACCTCCATTTTGTTGACAAAACACTTGTCCTTACGGCATCATCCAAAGACAAGCATCCTAATATCTTCTGAAGAAGATCACAAGGCAAACTGCTAATCCTATCTGCACCAGAGCTTCCTCCACTCCTCATATTCATGGAACTTTGCGAATTGAGAATCAGGTGGTTAACACATTATCATAAGCATCTTTTATTAAATTCTTCCTATCTAGTCAAATATACTACATGTCCCTTAACAATATATCAATAGCTGAATTCAGTTTATGTCGAAGTGATCAAAAGGAAATCATCAGGGATCGGGTAAAAGGTCATATTGATCCTACATTCTAGTAAAACATGATTACATATGACATTTCACCCGATAGTAGAACATGACCACATCCGACTTTTCACTCAGTTCCTAATCGGAGAGTGTTAGCTAGTTTATTTTCAATACAAAAGCACATCAGAATCAAATAAGCTAGAAAATTCAACCTAGATTCTCTTGAAGAAAACCAATAGTCAATGTACCAGAAAAACGATCAGATCCATTATCTACCAAGTTGGGATTTCCCCTTTACAGAGTTGCATCCAGAGGCTTATCAGTAAAAGAGGCTTAATGTTTAGCAGAATGCACCACAGATAGATTGAAATGTACCATCTATATTTTCTTACTTCTAACCAAAAAATAGGAAAGATTTGGGAAGTGAGTGTTGTTGTAAAATGAAAAGAAATCACAAAAGAACAAGAGAATAATACTGAAAAATGTATCTATTTTTTGGATTACAATAAAAAGTATTAAATGATATCATAGATCTAAGTATTAATATGTAAGGGTTATAGAAATAACTCTTTGAGATGTACTTGACCGTCAGGAACGTTGGGAAGCACTATGTTGTTTCAGGTTGACCTCCGGGAAGAACTTCCGCTTGCGGATGCCTTCACCGACTGCAGAATGCTTTCTCCAATGCTTTATATGTCTTTAGAAAGTTATGAACCCCTGCCCCCTATTTATAGATATAGGAAGTAGGAAGTCCAAGTGTAAATGAATTTTGTTGCCTCATTTTGATAGTCATTAAGTTTATCACAAATGTATTTTATAAGGTTGCTTGTGATTGGTCAAGACATGTCATTTTGGACACTAAACGACTTTTGATTGGTTCTTGTTCTGATTGGAGTTTCCACGTCATCTAAACACATGTCATCATCTAGTTGGTCTTGAATTTGAATAGGATGTCATGTCCTTAAATACCTTACATGAGTTTGTGCCTTCAGTGAAATGGACTATCGGTTTGAAACTTAATCCAGATTTAGTATGAATTAGACCAACAATTTAATGTGTTTGCAACGTTCCCTTGAGATCTTGACCAAAATAATATTACATAAATCTTTGGGAGTTATCTAAATCTATGCCATTACATAGTAAATGGTAATAAATGTCATCGATTCATTAATTTATGGGAAAATATCAAATATGCTATCAGACATTGAGAAAAAGAGTTATTCATGTCATCTGTTAATAGTTCTAATACACAGTTTACAAGGCTCAATAATCATAGTCCAATAATCACAATTCAACAATCAACACATATCAAGTATGTAAATCACAATAGTTAAACGGATCAATCACAAGTATCAAGTGCATCAATCACATTTAACAAGTAGATCAATCATAAGCATCAAAATGCATTAAATCACAATAATCAAACTCTTGCTGGAACCATTTCCCTTCGGCACAATATCACTAGTAGGAACTATTTTTCATCGGCTTTATATCACAACACCAGGCGGAACCATTTCACATCGACTTATATCATATCATTAGCCGGAACCATTTCTCATAGGCTTATATCATATCACTAGCCGGAACCATTTCCCATCGGCTTTATATCACATTACTAGCCAGAAACCATTTTCCTTCGGCTTTATATCATATCACTTGACGAAACTATTTTTCATCGGCTTTATATCACATGTCTCATCAGGGTGTACCACAATCAATGCACATAAAAAAAATTACACCATAAGGAAGAGACAACCATTCAAGCAATTCAAGTCCACATTCATGCCATCAAAGCATTTCATCAATCAATCAAATAGGGGCCACAACAAGGAAATTCACAAAGCATTATGATCAACACGTAGCCTTTTCATTAAACCCCTTTTTATCCATTAATATTATCAAGTGGAACAATGAATCCATCACCTCATTCCCATTACTCCCCAACACACATTCCCATTACTCCCCAACACACAATGAAGGGAAATACACCATTCTACTATATTACAAAGTTTAAGAGATCACTTGCCTCAATTCAATCAAACAGTCAATCCAAGACTTTAGTCTTCCCTTCCGAACAACGTCCAAAGTCACACAATCTATTTCAATCAAGTAATCATGATAAGATTCTGAAAATAACAATACCCAATTTATACTCTTTGAAAAATGGGTCAGTCAACTCAAAAACTCAATTCTGAAAATAAGGTTTGAATCCGAAAATCTTTACTTGAAAATAACAATATCTTAGGCATTTAGAACTCATTGGTGAAAACCATTTCAAAAAAAGAATTAAAATCAGTTCACAATCACCATTTTAGTTAAGAACTCAAGTTCTTGAATAACCTAGCCATTTGCCAATCAAAATCCCAAGTTTTGATGTTAAAATTCATAAATAATCAAAGGGAGAAGAATTTTTAGGGTCACAAAAGCTTACCCAAATGATTTAGCACAAGAAATCCTTCCAAAATTGTCTCTAACAGTTTTACCAAGGTTAAAATGAAAAATGGGGCTAAAACCCCGAAATTGGCAGGTCAAGACCCCTCTCTAATGTCGCAAAAGCGTCCATAGGTTCGCTGTGGATGCTTATGATTGATGTACTTGTTAAATGTGATTGATGCACTTGGTACTTCTAATTGATCCGTTTGACTCTTGTGATTGACATACTTGGTACGTGTTGATTGTTGAATTGTGACTATTGGACTGTGAATATTGAGCCTTGTGAACTGTGTATTAGAACTATTAACGGATGACATAAATAAGTCTTTCTCAATGTGTGATATCATATTTGAGATTTTCCCATAAAATTATGAAACAATGACTTTTATTACAATTTCCTATGTAACGGAATACATTTAGACAGCTCTCAAAGATTCATGTAATATTTTTTTGGTCAAGATCTCAGGGAACGTTGCAAACACATTAAATTGTTGGGTCTAATTTATATTAAATATGGATTAAGTTTCAAACCAATGGTCAATTTCATTGAAGGCACAAACTCATGTAACGTATTCAAGAATATGACATCCTATTAAATTCAAGACCAACAAAATGATGTCGTGTTTAAATGACGTGGAAACTCCCAATCAGAGCAAGAACCAATCAAAAGTCGTTTATTGTCCAAAATGACATGTCGTGACCAATCACAAGCAACCTTATAAAATAGCATTTGTGATAAACTTAATGACTATCAAAATGAGGCAACAAAATTCATTTACACTTGAGCTGCCTACTTCCTACAACTATTAATAGGGGAGAGGGGTTCATAACTTCCTAAAGACATATAAATCATTGGAGAAAGCATTCTGCAATCTGTGAAGGCATCCGTAAGTGGAAGTTCTTCCCGGAGATCAACCTGAAACAACATCGTGCTGCCCGATGTTCCTAAAGGCCAAGTACATCTCAAAGATTTATTTCTATAACCCTTATATATTAATACTTATATCTATGACTTCATTTAATATTTTATTGTAATCCAAAAATTAGAGACATTGAAAATCATGTTTGATACATTTTTCAATATTATTCTCTTGTTCTTTTGTGATTTCTTTTCATTTTACAACAACACTCATTTCCCAAAATCTCTCCTACTTTTTGGTTAGAAGTAAGAAAATATAGATGGTACATTTCAATCTATCTGTGGTGTATTCTGCTAAACATTAAGCGGCAACTTTTGATCTCTCTCAGTAGACTCTATTAATTGTTGATAAGCCTCTGGATGCAACTCTGTACAGGCAGTGGCGGAGTCAGGATTCTTACAACTCTGTATATCCAGGGAAATCCCAACAGTGGCACAAAGTTTGAAACTTGGTAGATAACGGATCTGACCATTTTTTGGGTATATTGACTATTGGTTTTCTTCAGCAAAATCTAGGTCAAATTTTCTAGCTTATCTGATTCTGATGTGCTTTTGTATTGACAATGAACTAGATAAAACTTTCCAATTGTGATTAGGGATCGGGTGAAAAGTTGTATGTGGTCATGTTTTACTATTTTGGAAGTTCACATATTAATTCTTTTTTTTTTTTAAATTCACTTAAAAATTCACTTATATAAGATGCTTATGATAATTTGTTGACCACCAGATTCTCAATTCACAGAGATCCATGAATAAGAACGGTGGAGAAAGCTCTGGTGGAGATAGGATTAGCAGTTTGCCTCGTGATCTTCTTCAGAAGATATTAGGATGCTTGCCTTTACATGATGCCGTAAGGACAAGTGTTTTGTCAACAAAATGGAGGTACAAGTGGGTAGTACGTTCCGAACTAGTGTTTGATTATAACATCTACAAAGAAATCCTCCTGAAAACAAGTATTTATAAAGTCCTATTGATGCATCAAGGAGAAGTACGCAAATTTAGCCTCTTGGTCCCTAGCTCCAACCTTTTTTCTGATATTGATACCTGGATTCTGTTTTTGTCAAGCAAAAATGTCCAGGAATTATCACTTGCATTTCTTACATGCTGTCGCCTCCCTTCTCACCTATTCAAATTTCAGGATCTAAAGCACCTGGAACTTAATAGTTGTGAATTCAACCCTCCTCCCAACTTTAAAGGTTTTCGAAGTCTTGTTACCCTTAACTTTCAATTTGTAACCTTCGAGCCCATGTCATTTCAAGTCCTCCTTTCAAGTAGCCCATTACTTGAGCATGTATCGATGGTTTGCTGTAGTGAGTTTGATAGCTTCATTATTGAGGCCCCCAATCTAAAAATCTTCAAATTCAGCAGCACAGCAAATTCCCTTTGCTTTAGAAGAATCCCTCTGCTTGAGGAAATTGTATTGGGCATGCCTTTTAACATGTCAGAGGTAATCACTATCATTGAGATGTTTGTTTGATGCACTACTGGATTTTCCTCGTAATTTTAGCTAATTTTTTCACACTTTGTTTTAGTCCTTTACGGTACCAGAGCCTCAGTTAACACTACACAACATCAAAATTTTGAATTTCAAGAATTTGATCTTTTCTGAGGTTGAGTGGGTTGCATATGTTCTTGACTTGATCAACCGCTGCCCCAACATAGAAAGGCTCCTAATTACGGTATGTCTCATTTTTCATCTTTTGATTGTAAATATGTTGATTTTTAGCTTCTTTGATCTTATAATTAATCTTCTTTTTCCCTTCTCAAGTCGTATGCCTACACATCGTGTGCATGTGAGTGTACACATCCCTTGCGATCCCAAGAAATGACAATGACCCATAGTGCAATGAAGCGGCTCAAAAGTGTGGATATGACCCTCATGTGGGTTAATAAAACTGAAATGGAATTCTTGAACCATGTATTGGCATATGCAACTGCACTTGAGAAAATATACATTGCAACTTCGGCAGAAATCCGTCATAGGGGAATGAAAATGATGGAGGAGATGAAGCGATTCCCTCGAGCATCACCTAATGTAGAATTTATATATCATTCATGAGATTGATCTGTCTTTGTAGCAATAACAATATTGTTTATCCGAGATTCTTATTTTCCTTTTTTATTTCATTGTTTGTTTGATCTCTTTATAAAGGAAAATAATTTATTTTTCGGATGGATGTTCCTCAAGATTTAGTTTCTCAATGTAATAAAAAGGAACCTAAAGGTTTTTGTATGTAGTTGAAATTATTGAATTATTAGTCATGTAAGGCTATGCATACATACTTGCTTAAACATAAAACATGTATTCATGTAGATTTGAATATTGTCTTTATATCGAAATTCTCCAAAGAATATTGAATACTTTGAAAGTTGATAACTACATTGGCTTAGTACTATTGGTTAACTTTCCTAATCTCAACTTTCAGAAGTGCCTACAAACTCTCGTTAGTACTTGACCACGAGGAGTACTAGGAGATCTGGTATAGATACAATTAGCAACTTTCCCTGCAATATTTTGGACTGAATTCTAGGGTGATTGCCTTTGAAAGATGCAGTGAAGACTAGTAACTTATCAAAAGATTGGAGGTATAAAGGGGTCACACGTCAAGAGCTTGCGTTTGATTATCACTTTTTTCAAGTCCTTTGCACATGCTCAAGAAGCTAAGACAATCATTTACCAAGTCTTATTACTCCATAAAGGATCTATACTGAGGTTTAAACTTAGAGGCTCTAACTTGATAAGATTTCCAAATACGTACTGATTGTTGGATACTTTTCTTGTCAAAGAGAAATATTGAGGAATTCACCCTCCCTGTAAGCTTAGGCAACAAATATTATTTACCTTATTACCTTTTTACAGTCCAGCCACTAAGGCATTTGGAAGTTCAAAATTGTTTGGTCCACCCATTTCTAGAAATTTGACTCGGAACCTAAGACTCGAGCCTCGAGATCCAATCCCTTACCTGAGGTGAGACTAGATACACGAACTCGAGACTTAGGAACCAAGTCTAGCTCTAGCAATCGAGACTCAGGAGTGACACCTAAGCGTCAATCCTGACTCGAGACTCGATCCAATCTTTATTCAAAACCAGATATTCAAGACTCGAGATCCAAGCCCTGACACATAATATAGGCTAGAATTAGATTAATATTGGGCTAAATTGAAGATAACTTAAAAGGGAAAACTACATAAATTCCACTAGTTTAGGTCCTAATTACTAAGATTCGCGATAGTTTCAAATATTACTTCATCTACCATATTTCGTGCTTAGGATACATGAGCCTGAATCTGCGAGATACATGTATCTGCCAAATTTTAAAAATCGAGATACATATTTTATTTATTTAAATTAATTGGCTGTAACAGATTTTCTTTATTAGAGGAGTTATTGAGGATTTTCAAAATACATGGACAATTAATTCTGAAAATTTAAATTAATTAAATCCCTTAATATAAGGCGAAAATCAAGGATTTTAGCTATGTTTAATTAATTTCATTTTATTAGATTATTAATAAAAGTCAAAAACATGTATATCTTGGTCATGTCATTTGATAAGTTTCATTTTATTAGTCTTAAAATAATAAATTCATTAATTTGATGCATCTATTATCAATATATAATGTATCCAACCAACTAAACACTTAGATACATGAGTATCATACAAGTACATTCATATGTATCATAAAAGTATCTAGTATTAATTTCATGTATCTATTTATATGATGGAAAAAATGATTTTTTGCAAAACCATCAAATCTGACCGTTAAAAAGTAGCACGAATGGGTCCTTTCTATAAATACAATGGCATAGTTGGCTTCAACTATTAATGGATGGCATAGGTGAACCTTTTCTCAAAGTTCGATATCATATTTGAACTTTTCTGACCCGTTTAATTTCAATGACGTGGACATCTAATAAGAGGCCACAAAGAAAGAATGATTTTGCAAAGTATGATGATATATTTGAGCCTTTTCCCTTGTTTTATACAATTATGATATTCACTTCTAACAAATCGGGAAGTCTTTGATGGCTAAAACTCTTGTAATTAGGAAGAAGATAATCTATTTAAAAAAGTTAAATATTTGAGAAATAGATCTTTGGTAATTCACATGTTATCTAAGACAATTCAACTTATTAGGAAGCAATATTGTTTGTGAAGCAACTATAATACAGACACTCAAACTTAAGCCTCAACGGGAAACTAAACACTCCAACTCGTCCCCCCTGTGTTCTGGCGCTGATGTGATTATAAATTTTGGAATTTAAATACTACTACCACATTATGGGGAGAACATCAGCAAGACCAAAGAGCTGGTTAAAACAAGGTACTAAATCGTAATACAAAATAACAAAATTGTATATTTGCAAGCAAAACGTTAGAGCTACCTACCTAGAAATTGCATCTGCATTAGTTCTATATGCAACCTTTTGAGCTGCTTCAATTCACTACGTTGGGAGCGCATGAAATATGCAACATGTTCAGAAGGATCCTCTGAGGCATTACATATGAGAAAGTAAAAAAAAGAGAAGTTATGATTAATTGTCACGAGATAAAGCAGATGTATTGAAATTCAAAACTTTAATTAATGTTGTGCAGTAGTACCTGAGGCTTTGGTGTAGACCAGATGTCATGGTCAAAAACAGAATACGAACAAAATTAGATTAGTTTACATGGAAAGTTCAGTAATACATCTAATTGACTTATCAATGATAGTAATGAAAGAATTGGTTTTTCCAACTCATGTACATGTGCCAATTTACTTGGCTGATTTTCTGTTCCTCGGAGCCGAAGGATGCTAAGATGTTGAGGAGAATTGAAATAATCATGTAGCACACTTGGGACATCTCCCCTATCTTTGATAATCATTTTTTGCCTATAAAAGTAGAGGCAATTCTTCAATGTCAAATGTTAACCATCCCAAAAATCATAGCAAATTCTTATAAAAGTAGAGATTGAGAGAGCAATTTTCTTAGGTGTGATTGGGATATGTTGCTCTCTAGTGGACGAAGGATCATTTCAATCCTGACCATGTTAAATCTTGCGCTTTTCTTTTCATTTCCACTAATAATTGGTATCGGAGCCAAGGTTATATATATTTGAGTATACTCTGTGGCTGTCATACATTTTAAACTTCCGCATCAGAAAAAAAGTAATTTGTTCTTCTGTATTATCAGCTAATAAATAGTATGTGTAGCAGAAAAAGAAGAATAATCAACGAGTTTCATGAACTTTGAAATCGATAGATTCAGTGAACTCAACAACTTCAATATCTGGAAGATCCAGAAGATGGCGTTATTGAGGAGGGAAGGTTCAAACCATGCTATTGACGGAAAGTATCATGATGGTACATCAGCTTCTAACTGTCCCTTGCACATGACGTGTTTTGTGAAGTGAGAGAGTACCTGGAAAATGTTGATCGGAGACAACAATGGTGAAAGCGTGAATTTAATCTAGGAGATTCAATAATATGTGTATGTATACACATAAAAGGATATTTCACCTCAATACACAGTACATTTTTTTGGCGAGGGGGGACTAGGAAGCTACTTCCATTTCTAGAAAAAGATCTGGTAGAAATCTATTCTTTGCAATTGGCAAAACCTTCAGTAGAGCAATTAGCTCATGCTCTATCTTTCTGACGTCAGGCAGCTATTTCCATTTCTTGAAAATAATTTTATAGAAATTTATACTTAACATATGAGATATCTACTCTTGCAAAAAAATTTCACCCTTATTACTATATGAATTATGAACACATCGAAAGAAAGCATAAATAGGCTCCAAAAATCATTGGGAGTTCCGCCCCTACGGCATTTGACTACTAGTAAGTGTGCTGCCCATGTTGCAAGGAATAGGCATACATCTTGGGTTTGGGTTTGCAACCGATGAAATCTACTATTTAAGCCACAAGAAGAATATACAGCCAGATTAGTTATCTGCCGAGTTGCAAAATTTGTTCCACTGTTAGGATTTTTCTTTTACAGATAAGAAAAGAGAGTTATAATAACATAATTGAGTGCAGAGGCTTAATTGTACCAGAGCTGCCTCTACTTGTCCGTCTCTCCGTTTCATTTTTCTCTGAATGATCAGTGTTTCAATCTTCTCGCTTAAGTAAAGAATAGAAATAGAGAGATTTTGCATAATGCATTGTTGTTATATAATAAAAGGAAACTACAAAACTGAGAGCATTCGTTGTTTTTGACCCGTTTGTGACCTGTTTTTAGTAGTGTAAATCAAATTTAATAAAAACAAAACAAACTATGATTAATTTTAAGAAGAAAAAACAATCGTATTGAAGTTCAAAACTTTGATGTAATGCAGTATTACCATAGTGAAAATCGTTTTGGAAACGCTAAACGATGTTGGGGGACATGTTGCACTACATCAAAGTTCTGAACTTCAATACAACTGGTTTTTTTTTTTCTGACAATTAATCAGAACTTATCTTGTTTTTACTAAATTTTGACTTACACAACTAAATACAGGCCACAAACTGGGGGACAAAAAAAGGGATTTCCCTTGGTTTTGCGATTTCCTTTTATTTTATAATAGCAACACACTACACAAAATCTCTCTATTTATATTTTTTTTACTTAAGCGAGGATACTGAAACACCAAGCATCCACAAAGAGCAATGAAACTAAGAAATGGAAAAGTAGAGGCAGCTCTACTCCAGGTAAGGCTCTGGACTCAACTCTGTTTTTATAACTCTCTTTTCTTATCTATAACAGAAAAATCCCAACAGTGGAACAAATCTCTCAACTTGGTACATAACTTATCCGGTTGTATATCATTCTCGACTTAAATAGAAGCTTTTCACCTGTTGCAAACTGAAGATGTATGTCTAATCCACGCAACACAAGCAGCACACTTACCACTAGACAAATGCCTAGGGGCAGACCTACCAAGGATTTTTGGAGCCTATTTCTACTTACTTCCGATTGGTTCATAATTCATTTAGTAATAGGGGTGGATAGTTATTTGACGTTCAAAGATAGAGAATGAGCTAATTGCTCTACGTAGGTTTTGCCAATTGCAAGAATAGATTTCTGCAAT